AACAATAATAGCTACCGTAATTCTCAGACCTGAATATAAGCCGCACCCGCTAATTTTAAAAAGAAAAACAATTTTGTACATATATAGGCCGCACTTCTCTATAAGCCGCAGGTGTCCACGTTGTAACTGTCATGATTCGTGATGTAAACGAAGCAGGACGGATGCAAGTGCAGTTAGGACGAGACCTTTTATTGAAACAGAGGAGAGCAGACTCAAGAGAAACAAGAACCATGACCAACTCAATGAACTAAGCTAACTAAACCAACTAACCTAAACATTAACTAGGACATGAAACAAAGACTCTATATCTATACTCTATAGACCACTACATCTATATTCTAAACTAAGTCTATACAACTCTAAGCTATACTATCCGCTACTAGGCTATAAGCTATGCTATAAGCTACTAGGCTAGGCTTTGTTGAATGGCTTATATAAACGGTGTACCTATGGATGGGCTGCCACTGATAATTTGTAATATTGCCATGAAATGGATCTCACTAGTTTCTAAACTTCAGGCTTTTCTATTTACAAATTTCGGGCCAGGAAATTAGGTCCACGCTTAGCCAGAACAGATTTGCACAGTTTTGCACTTGTTTTTCTTAAAAGCCACTTCAAAGGGTATATCTAATTTTGACAGTGATGGTAGGTGAGGCGAAATGGGAGGGGGATTGTGAGGCGAAATGGGAGGGGGGTTGTACATTTTTCCTTTCAGACAACAGAGCACTCTTAACAGTTACAAACTAGGAAAATGCCATTATGTTTGCCTTAAACACAGTCAACTAAAGATCTTTTACAGCCATGAATTTCCACCTATAATAGGAATTATTCAAAAGAATTCATCATAATCACCTTGACCAATTCAAAGGGAAAACGCTCATGAAAGATACGGTTGATCCTGGCTCCCCCGGACAGCTCATAAGTGTCGATCTGATCACCAGATCCCTCGATACACTTCTCAAAATCCACTGCAAACTGCTGAACCATTCTGTAAGAAGAGAGAGCAGCAGCTGACTGATAGGCACGAGCTCATGTATATACTGAACCAAACCAAGCTTGCAATTGCACTAATGCAGAAGAAAAAAATGTATTGCATTCGAAAATGAATTATTAGCACACAGAATTAACCTTATAATCACACACTTATTTAAACATTTGCATGCATGCTAGGTTTTTAAGAAATAACGACAGCAATTCGACTGACTGAAGAAGGGCCTTGGTCTTTCGGGAGGGATCATCCGGGCGGAAGTTCTTGTATTCTTCCACTTCCTTCTCAATGGACAGCAGCTGGCTTTGCAGCTTGTTCCTCAGCCCTGGCAGCGTGTCTCGAATGTGATTGGTGAGTTGCTGCAAACAAAGAAAATCCGCATGCAGATGTTAATTTTCAAAGCAGCTCATGCTGTTGCACCTCCAGTCCAGCAAGCAGAGTTTGTGCTCATTTGAGTAATGAATGATGACAGATAACCACAATTAGCCACAAAGTCTTTATAACGCCTGCCACTTCCTAATTTATTCTATCATTCTATCATACTTGCTGTTTTCTTGTAAGGTTGGAGTTATGTTTATTTCTATTTCTGTCTGCTGTTCTGAAATAATGGCCATAGACTGTTTTTTCTACTCTGTCTCTGAATTAGCTGCCTTGATTTTCTACCACTGCTTTTTCCAAATTAACCTGATGCACGTGAATTCACCCTCTCAGGTACAGTCACCATGTTATATTGAAATATCTTGTGGTGTGCCACATCTTATTTTATTCCCGTTCTTTGAGCTACAAAGTAGTTCCACTATCTCTTACCTGATTAAGGACTTTCTGCAGGTATGGTGTCCCCATGCGCTCAGCCAGATGACGATAGGAAGGATGGCTGAGGAAGAACTTCCTCTCAGCAGTCATGGCAGCAGTAATGTCCTTTTTTCCATCAATATCTTTTTGACTGCGGTTAACGACTCCGATGTAGCCTATTGGTGGCATCAGACATCAGTTGTCCAGATCACAGGCTTGTATTTTTTGAGGTGTACAAGAATACTCAGTACATTTACATGGACAATATTAACCCGATTAAGACGATACTCTGATTAAGAAACTAGCATGTAAACAGCAATGACTAAAAACTAAAGTCATACTCAAAGTAAACACAAATCAAATTAAGACGTGGTGTATTCCTGTTTTAGTCGCATTATCGACATGAATTACAGAGATGTACACAGCTTAAACTCCACACGTCGTGTGGGAGTTTTCACTGCATTTTGCGACAGGACACGATCACACATGGCAGCCTTCAACCGTTTAACGTCAAACAAGAGAGCACTGCTGCGTCCAAAACCACGTACTTACCTACTATATAGTAGGCGAATCTCAGCTACTATATAGAGGGTAATTACGCGGTTTGGGACGTAGCCCACGGCTTCAAGCAGTCGTCTATTTGCATGTATAGCATGACAAATAATTAACTGCACTCCAAACTTTGGTAAAATTAAAATTGAAACACCTAAAACTGTATACGGTACCATAACAAAGACAAACTGTATGTTGATACGTGAAATTCTGGAGGGAATGTCGGACGGCGTGGCGTGGTGACGTAATGACGTGTGCTGTTAATCAATCTATGTTCTATAACATGTAAAACGGGAACATGAAAGGAATATTCTAAAAGCAACTCATGTAAATACCTTCATCAAAATATTGTCTTATTCAGAATAAGGTCAAGAAATAGATTACTGCTGTCCATGTAAATGTAGTCCATGATTCTCAATAGTGGATGGCCAAGGATCCTTATCTGAGATCCTTGAATTTTTTATGGCATTACAGATGTTTAAAGATGTTACTGTTCTCATAGTTTTAAGCCTAATTGTCTTATTTAACTCAAAAATCCAAAACAAAACTAAATCATGTAAATTCCATCTTACTACAGTTGTAATAATACTTAGAAAAGTGTATACTGTGGGTGGAAAGTGTAGGTTTTAAAACTTTGTATGTAAATGTAGTGCAGTGGGTAGTGTTGCCAAGTCATAGCTCCAGGGTCTGTGGATTGATCATTATGTGTGTGTAGAGTTTCACATGTTCTCCCCTGTTCATGTGGGTTTCCTGTGGGTTCTCTAATTTCCTCCCACCTTCCAAATATATGACAGTAGGTTGATTGGCTAAGATAAATTGTCCCTATATGTGAATGAGCAGTAGGTTTAATGCCCTCATTTCGTTTTAGTTAATGCAGATGGATATTCACTCAGAAAGACACAATAATGAATAATATATTTTAATGAATCCTTTAATGACACGTTAATGAAGATTATCCAGCGCTGATCTAAAAATATCTTGCTGACTCAGCAATGATGCACATTGCATTATGGATTGGGGACAGCATGAACTTAATGTACTTTTGTGATTGAAATTTACCTCTACGCAAAGGAAGGAGCTTGTTCTCCAAGATATCGCGTGCATCCGTACCCTCATCCATCAGGTCCAGTTTAGTGATCACACCAATTGTTCTCACACCTGCTCAGAGACACGCACATACACATGAGCTACTATGTATAGTCACACACAAAAAATAGAACTGAAGACAAATAAGAATACTTCAAAAGAAACATCTTGATTTTTTTTTTAAACATCCCTTGATGTCACTCACCTATCATTAAAACTATAGCACCTACTTTTTACACATTTAATACATCTGGCCATTTAAGACATGTAGTCATTCAGAAGCTAAACACACTAGAAATGACTGATAGGCTTATATGGATTAAACACTGTATTTCACACCTTGAGGGTCCACTTCCTTGGCAATCTTGAGAGCATCAGAGTTGGCAAGGTCTGAGTTGGCAGGAGAGACGGCCAGCAGCAAACAGTTCTCCTTTGTAACAAACTGCATGAGCATTTCCTTGATCTGGAACTCAATATCAGCTGGCTGATCGCCCACCGGCACTTTGGTCACTCCAGGCAAGTCCACCATTCAAAAAAAAAATTTTGTAAATTTTCGTGATCTGACTGACGTTCTCATCACTGACTTTTTCCGTATGTACACAAAATAGGCATACTCTGCAAATAAATCAAAATTTTATTAATGAAATTGCAGGATTATCTGACTTGCTAGCTTGCTGAGGGCAGTCATAGTTCAGTGCTTATGATATTGGGCTATTGATCATGTTGGCCTCTTAAGCAAGACAATAACCATTAAATGTTCAGTTATATTCTGTCTCAATTGTAAGTCACTTTGGATAAAAGCATCAGTCAAATGAGGTAAATCTAAACGGTAAATGCTAGCTGAAACATAGGCCGCTATCAAAATCATTGTGCTGTACACACCGCAATCTCCATGTTAATTTTTGTCACTTTGGTGGAGCGCTTAAAGATTCTATGTAAAACCCTTCCACAAAGGATTTCCTTTCAGAAGAGGTACAAATGCTTTAGAAAGTTAGAACTGTTCACCATTTAAAGATTTTTTGTGAACCTTCCTTTTTGTACAAAATATTTTAAATTGACTCAGAAATGGTTCTGAAAGAGCACAGAAAAATGCATATTTTAACCCTCATCAATGAATCCATTTGATAAAAATGCTAATTAAACCAACCCAGCCATAGAAAAGTCCACCTCTTTCTCCTGGTAAATGGTGCTGCATGACATGGATTTGCATCATCCATTTATTCATCTTCAGCAACCAATTTGTCCTGGTCACGGTCACAGTGGATCCGCAGTCTATCCCTGAAACACTGGGTGTGCGGTGGGAATTCACCCGGAATGGGAGGCCAGTCCATCACAGGGCACATACATTTACAAATTAACAGTGGCAGTTTGCATGAAGAGTTGTTACCTGTTGGACAGTTGATCAGCTGCAACACCAGGGGGCGACGAGTCACGATGCCAGAGCCTCGAGGCAAAAAATCCCTTACAAGAAAAAAAAAAAAAAAGGTCAGTAACTCATTCAAAAGGCAGAAATCGCTAAGTTTGAAAAACTAAAACTATTACTAAATTTAGAATATATAAAAAATAACTAAGTCCATCTAGGGTGGTGGTAGCTCAGTGGTTAAAATGCTGGGCTATTCATCATGAGTCATGAGTTTAAAACCCCACCACTACTGCCACTATTTGGCCCCTGGGCAAGGCCCTTAACCGTCAGCTGTATATCTGAGATAAATGTAAGTCGCTCTGGATAATGGCATCTCCCAAATGCCATGAATTTAATGATCCACTGAGAATGTGATCTATTAACAATGGACAATCTTGAGATTAATAATTGGTAGAACGTTTATTTTTATATTGTTAGTTAGTATACCTGGTCTTATTATACACTTCACCTGATTTTTATTTTTTTATTACATTATATGCATGCACAGGTGGGACAATATTATATGATGTTTCACCTCCCCACCTATCATCATGCAAAAAATGTGAACTTCTTTCATTTGGAAACAGTAGAACGATACATTATGATTTCTCACCATTTCTAACGTGTTATTGTGTATGGTGTATGGTGATGTGTGAGTTTGTAACTGCTAATGAGCAGTTACATGGCAGAGGACCCCTGACTACGCCGATGAGTGTGATGTTGTTGTGTGTAGGTGGTGTGATCCAGACGGCAGGCACAGAAAGATTAAACCTTGTGGTGTACTGTTGTCATACATCCTGAGCATGGCATTCACAGAACTGCAGCAACGCTGTACTATAGACACACTGCAGTGCAGGTCTGAGGCGTGAGCTCCACAGCAAAATATGTTGTATTTTCATACACTTACTGACTCTCTCACAGATATTCACACATCCAGTTTCACAGCACAGCATCTGACATTAGCAGTCATTTTATGAGATTTAGTCAAACATTTGTCTTGCCTTTCACTATAATTATTACTCCTTACTATCATAAGCCACATCACCAGCCTCATACGACCAGGGGTAGTCAATTAAAATATGTAAAGGTCCAGATAATTAGAATTCATTGCAATACAATAGTCTGGAAAAGCAACTAACATTATGGACTGGTGACATTAGTTATCATTTAATGCTTAACCATTAACAAATAGATTATGGCTGCAAATAAGAGAACGCAAACTGATTGGCACTGGTGCTTCCATTACAATTCTTAATAGCATAATTAAAAATTCTGTTTTCATTGTAGTTTTTCCCCCAATTAGCTATTTGTGTGCTATCATGTGGCAGCTACCAACCACGGAGGATGGGGCAAAGCTTCCATATCTTTTCAATTGCTCCCTCCAACCCCCAAAATACAGATTATTTTGCTCTATCCTCTCACACCATCGACAAGACTCAAAGTAATGATCTCCCGGAATGATGTCCTTAGCCGAGCAAGGAGGCGGAGTGCAAAGAGGCAAAACGACATTTGAAGCGGAGTCGGGTGGCAGAGTGATGTCCAAATGTGGCAGCGAGATGGAATGATGCCCATACCAAAGCCAAGAGCAATAACAATGCCCTCTGCAGAGCAACAGCAACTGCTAATCCAATGGGGGAACAAAGCCCAAGGTGAAGCCAGTAAGGGGCTTCCCCAACATTCACTTCCCCAAGCAAAGGGGAAGGCGCAATGTCCTCAGTGGAGCAAGGAGGCAGAGCAACATACTCAGCCAAATAAGTAGGCAGAACAATGTCCTCAGTCAAGCAAGGAGGCAGAGTGACATCTTCAGCAGATCAAGGAGGCAGAGCATTGTTCTTAGAAGAGCAAGGAGGTGGAGCAACATCCTCAGAAAACCTAGGAGCCGGAGGAATGTCCAAAACAGAGCAGGAAGGTAGAGCAACGTCCACAGCAGAACAAGGAGGCGCAGCAACATCCTCAGCGGAGCAACATCCAAAGCAGAGTCGGGCAGTGCGACCTTCTCAGCGGGGCAGGGAGGGTGGGAGATGGTCCCGGCCTGGTTGGGAGCCATCTCCTCCAAACATTTTCTCAGGGAGCACATGGCCTTGAGCCATTCCAACCAAGCACTGATTTATTACATTTGTTTTTGTACATCCAGTATAATTTGATCAGGATCAACCCCATCACTGTCATTGTGAGTCTACAACATTTCCTGCTTCTCGGTTCTAACTCAACTACTGTAATTGAATTCATTTATTACTATAGATATTTCTTCCTGTCAGCTCCAAATCCTCACCAGATTTATTATGGAATTGGATCACTTTAATAATACATGAATTGATCACACTCGCTCAACATAATTCAATCTAGTAATTAGAAACTTGTTTAAATTCAATTTAGTATAAGCAAATTAAATTACATTTTCATGAGAAACTTTTCTTCAATCTAACTGACTACATATTCCATTTTTTCAGTGTACTGTAATTAAAAACTAGGCAGGTTTCAGAAATCTTGCGACATATACACTCAAAAATAACTGAACCAGTTGGCAGATGACTAGTGCTGCAGATTACTGTAGGTTTCACGATCCTCCATGAGTTCCTTTATCCTAATATAATAACACATGAGTTCAGGCCAGATACACACCAAATTTGTACATTTTACTGTATTTAATGTCGAATTTTCTAAAACTTTGAATGGGTACTGAGTGGGTACTGTGATGTACCCTTTTTTTTCCTTTTTTTACACCATATACAATGATATGTAATGCAAATCCTCCCTTACGTCAAGGATTTAGTTCCTATACTGTAGGTGTACACCAGATATAATTTTCTTTTTTATAATTATTCTAGTATTACATTAGCTATTATTTATGGATGAACAGCAGCATGCATTGTGCTGCCAATCAATGGAGATTGGCTGTGACAGGATGACAGGACAGATGATGGTACAGACTCCTCAGTGTCCACAGTGCTCAAAGTCAGAGGAGGACAAGGGACAAAAATCCTTATGCTAAAACTGCCAGGAGAAACTATGAGAGAGAGAGACAGAGAGAGAGACACAAAGAGAAAAGCTCATGTTCACAGTCATTACATAACAGCAGGCAATCATTGTAGGAATATATTTATCTCATAACACTGAAAGAATGTTACATAAATGACGGATGAGGAACACAAATTGTGTACATACACACATGTGCAGCTCAGTTATCCTAGCTCTTGTTTCAGACACAGGTGTTTTGGAGTAAAATTAAATGAAAATGGGACTTGTGTGTTTTTGTGTCACTGAATTATAGCATGTGAAACCTACTGCTGTGGAAAAAGAAACTTGTCACAAATGATTTGTGCTTTTATAAACCATAAATTGCAAGTGTGGTTAATTTACTTAATTTTTTAGCAGGATGTTTGCAAAAAATAATATGAAAAAAAGAAATGGCAAAAGGTGTGTATTTTTTTATTGCTCGAACTATGCTATAATAGGTTGTGTTCACTGCATTTATTTTCCCATTAGGCCTAGCTGCATAGATCTTAGTGTATGTCTCAATCAGCTCCTTAGTTCAGTTGTCAGGGCACTGATCAGGGAGTCGGCCATTTTAAGGTCTGTCTCTGTTCCAAATTATTTCCAATGCAACGGGGGGAAAATCCCACAATGCACCACAAAAACCAGGGAGCATCGATGCGCAGTATGTTAAATGGTAAAATGGCAAATGGTAAACTATGTTCCCTAACTGGAAATGATGTCATGTTTTCTAAAAGCCTCCCAGCTCAAAAAAAAGTGGGGGAAGATAAGTAGCTTGGTTGGTGTAGCTCTCAAATGATTACTTAAGTAAGCGATTTTAAACTTTATTTGGCATTCTATATATGGTTTGTTTGAGTCTAACAACTTTTAAGTGTTTATTTATTCTTATAAAGATCCACCAGCTAGCCTACAATCCTGCTTGAAGCAGCTCCCATGACAAAAATGCATGGGATTAAGCTAACAAATTTATATGACATAAAAAAAACTTAGTGAGTACGTAAGTGTGTCGCTGGAAATTCAGTTATTAGTGTCCCAATGTCTACTGAGCCAGGGACCTTACCAACGCCTGAACTCATGTATTGATTCACGAGCTAAGGAACTGATTGAGACATACCCTTACTCTCTCAACTCGCAGATGGTTTCAACATTAAAAAAAATTAAATAAAATAAAAAACTTTCAAAAAGTGTATAAATAGTTCTTTCACATAAAGTCACCAACGTTTTCTAAACTGACATCAGAGTTACTGTAAATGGCGACCATAGTCACTACTGCATCGTTTACCCTGTTTGTATCACGCAGTCTGTCTGCACTCGTTGAGAGTATGCGTGAGTGAATCTTTGCGCATGCGCAGTATAAGGGTCGCGCACAGAAGCAAGTCGCGCGCTGCCAGCGCACAAAGCCGCCTGTGTCTGTGCAGAGTAAAGAGCACGAGCAGCTGATTACACACATGAAGCGGATGTTTTTAAATGGAGGCCTCTCCTCGCCGTATAATGTGCAGTCTGTAAGGAAAACACAGACCTCCTGCAGTCCGCTAATAGTCGGCGTTTGAAAAGCTGAGCAAAAGCAGTGCAAAGGCATAATTACAATATGCAAGGGGAATATATTTAGCCTATACATTTTTTATTTTAAATTGTGATGATATCATTTGAAATACATACACATGTATTCTGACATGTATTCAGCGTATGTTCTGAATCTCAGTGCTTAGACATGTCATGTATTGCACATAGCCTGTACTTTAGATATAAGGAAAGGTTCATATATATATATATATATATATATATATATATATATATATATATATATATATATATATATATATATATATATATATATATATATTCTTTCAACTGGATAAGACACATGCAAATCTTTTTAATGCATATATAGGCTGCAGTGGGTGTAGGGCTATTGTGTATTTCAGATAAACCCTTCACAGAACTGTCCTTGGTCCTGAAAACACAAGACCTGATTCTCGCTTTGGGGGAAGATTATGTCTACCGTGAACAGACTAGGGACTGTCACGTGACTGCATAATGGTCATCTCCTCCCTTTCATTTTATCTGATAAAACGCTGGTGGCGTCAGATCATGAGTTCATATATTTGGGCGGTAAGAGTCAAACCATAAATCTATCGAAATGACCATCAGACGACACTGTCCAGAGAAAACCCGAGTGAGGACTAACCATACATATATATATATATATATATATTATATATATATATATATATATATATATATATATATATATATAT